CGGTGTTGTATTTGCGGCCCCTCAGTTAATAACTAGATCAGTGCGACAGAAGAGAATCATTAAAAACTGACTTTAACTGGAAAATAACTTTATTAGCTCTATTATAAAACTTACTTTATTATATATCTATTATCACCGTAAAGCCGCTAAGGAACAATCTACATTGTTAAAAGCGCTATACAGATGACTTGACTAAAATGCTAATTAATCAGAATGCTTACACAACTGGTTGATGGAATCAATCTGACCAGTGGTCTCTGAAGACAAAGGACCTTGCTTGCAAATTAACATTTGAACAACTCACACACACACACACCACGCATCCCCCACTCTAGCAAAAATCACCCACACCCACACTCAGTTTTATATAGGCTATGTGTTTAGTATTATTTGAAATGACTCAGTGATAATGGTACAAGTGTTCTATTTCCAAAAAAGTGAAACAATAGATAATAGGGTTTTTAAGAGTTTTGGGATAACTGGCACACAAAGGAATGTGGTCTCTACTTCCAAAAGGTGTAAATTCATGAATGCTAATTTCCACTGTTTCTTGCAAATGGTCATCCCAGTAATTTCTATCCTCAGTAAGTCTGGGGGTAGACCAGTAAATTTCCACTAAACTCATGATTTACATATCAAATAAGTTCTAAGGATGCGTCATCTGGGGTCGGTAAGCGGTAACCAGGGCGCTCTGGAGGAAAAGGCCCCCGTCCGAAAAAAAGGACAGAGTCCGTAAACGTGAAGTCGAAAGAGGCTCTTTTCTGTATTCAGATTAGCCCGTGTGGTTGAGGGTCTCGCGACTCTCAGCACATGTAGCATACATTGTCGAGTAAAAAGGTTTCCTCTTTTGTTGTAGAACTTTTATGGTTTGCATTGATTATCTTTCAATTGACTATGGATTTGTAATAATACCTCATTCTAACAGACTTTGACTTTATTTTCATTAGAGTTAAAAGGAATAGTCAAGCATTAACGTATATTTAATGATGCACAGATATCATTGATAAACCTTTTCATTTTATGGAGTCAGATGAAACGAGTTAATACACAAAGATAATATGTATTGCATTTAGTTAAAAATCCCTTCGCCATGGGAAAGAAGGAACACGCGCGAAACCTTCGCCTCTGATCGAATGCTGCCCTTGGATCAATTTAGAAGGCCTTACATCACAAATTAATTTTTATCCTCAGTAAATGAGGTTTGCATTATATAGTAGGAACTAAATGATTTATTGATAATGTTGTCTAATAGGCTCCAACATCTTTAATTCTAATTTATTTTATCATCCAATAAACTGTTTTAAAGCAACACTCCACACTAAATAAAAGTTCTGTCATCATTTACTCACCCCTTATAACATTCTAGAACCATATGACTTTCTTTCTAATGAAAGAGGAATGTCTCAGTGTTTTTCAATGAAAGTCAATGGGCTCTAGTGTTGTTTCCTAACTTTCAACAAAATATAATGTGCGATTGTGCATTCGACGGAAGAAAGTCAGTCAGTCCTGTTTGAATTCAAAGTTTTTACTTTTGGGTTATATTTTTAACAGCTTCTTTTATGTTCCTTTATTTATGTTCAATATTAAAGTTAAATACTGAAATATATATATATATATATATATATATAAAAGATCTGCATTGTCATGATGTTTTCTATCTGTATTAAAAACTAATAAAAATTATGATGTAAAGAAAAATCTGAAATAACTGAGTCTTCTTAATCTTATTCAACAGTCTAACACAACATATCATACAAGAAAATGCTTTTATTGCTTTTAAAGTGAATCATTGCCATCCCTGTAAAGTAAATCCACTTTAACATTTTTGCCTCCATCTCCAGAGTTTTCTAAAGTGGTGGGGTGAGCAGAAATGTCCTTAGTAGCAGGAGGTTGAGATTTACGACTAAGGTGTTTAAAGTCTTTCAAGGTCCAAACAGAACATTTCAATCATTTCGATCTCTTGACCTTTTTTCCTGATAAAAACTGCTTAGAAAACGGAGAGCCAGAAACCAACACAATGAAACTAGGCGATCCTGCCTTCAAAAAGCACCTGGAAAGAACAAAACAGAGAGAAAAAAAACATCAAAGACCAATTCAAGCAGAGATAAAACTACTTAGAAGAAATTCCTCTGAAATACCTTTGGTGCTGAAGAACGTTAAGAAGTGACTTTTCAAGATCAACTTGATAAAGATGTCCTTTTTCAGGATCCTCAAAGAAAAGCTGAAACAAAAACACGATTGTGAAGTTACAGATGGATATGATCAAATTGCAAAAACAAATCTTTGTGGTACTGCATCTAATTAACATTTCTCAAGCAAAAGAGAACAATGATGGGTCAAATAGTGGTGTTTAGAGAACCTTTTGTACTGACCTGTAGATTTTGCGGCTGATATTTTCTTTC